TAATCGGCCCGTGGGCATTACGGCTGCATAATGACCGCTCAGATCTCGCTCTTAGCCAATCAGAGCGCGTTATATCGGCCACAAGCCAAAGCCATATAGTAATGAATAGTAAAATGTCAGTTTATTCTATGTAAAGTTCAAAGGCACTTAGATAACAAACAATTAGGATTTAAACAACTGTAAAATTCGATTAAATGTTATTATGTATTGAAAGAATTGAAGAAAAAGGAAATTGACTTAAGGATTCTATAGACAGCGTTGGAAAAGAAACTGTGAAGTATATTTTTAAAAACGGGATTCTGATTTTTTAACTTCCCACTAGCCACGCGATCCACACGCCACGTCATAAAGTTAAAATGAACAATGCTATAATGTTACAAGGATTTAGCAATCTTGGACGTCTGGTGAAACCCAGTCAATTTGGGGAAAGAAATTGTACCTTAGAGCATCGAAATTTCTGCCCCACGAGCAATAGAATTCCCCTGTTTTGATCTCTTCGCAATCAGTTTTAAGAATGCCGCTTAAGGGTCAAGTGATATACAGATTGACAACATTTGGAATTGCTAACGTTACAGACCCTCTTATAAAAATATAGAAGGCTAAAATCAACGTCTTGAAATTACTGACATAAAAAAAAAAGGTGAAACTGAAATTTATGAAACTGATTGCAAGACGAGATTGCAAACTGATTTTCGGATCTAAGGCTGTTTTGGGAAATGGACTAAAAAGCCTTAATAAATTCGTGTCTATGAACTTTGATGAAAATGAACTGACATTATGGAAAAATTTTATTATTCCTTGCTATTTAGAAAGGTTCTTTTCTTTTTCATTCATAACCTAGAAGTTGCATTGAATTGTCTTTGAAGTGCGGGAACTAGGGACAGCGGGGCTTGATGGGAAATACACTGAAAAGCCTTAATAAATTCGTGAAGTTTCAAGTTCCCCTGGAATGACCGAAGAGATAAAAATCTTATGGCGCAGCATTAAAATAAGATACAAAGTTTTTAAAGCACTTGGGAGAAAACCGTCGTTGGGTGCTCCTGTTTTAGACTTACAGTTAAGAATAAGCGAAACAAAAAGTTGGCTTGATCCGATTACGGATAGATCTACTAATAAACGGCTGTAAATTGGCCATGTAAAAACCTACCGACAGTAACACAAGCTGGAGATATAACAGCGCCAGGTATCGAAACATCTTAAAGGCAAACGGACTTGTAGGATGATCTGCAAAAAAAAAAAAAAAAAGATAAAATAAACTCAATCAAAATTTGGCTCTTAACCTAGGGACTCATCTTCATTTTATTTTACGTAATTTAGTCACTTACCGGGAAGGTTTTGTTGCAGTTCTTCTCTCGAACACGAAAGGCTCTGGAAAGATAATCAGCTCCGTCACTAACAAGAGCACTTAATGTGGACTTGCTCCGAAGCGTTCGTTTTTATTGGCATAAGATGGGCCACGTGGAGATGGCGCAACGCATATATTTTCCAAGTAAGCCGCTTAATTAAACAAAGCACGTTGGCAATTCGTGACTGTGGCGACGCAACGAAGACTAGCTCCAAATTTTTACTGACATCGATTTTGTTTCTGCGATCTATGATTTATGAGCAAGAGGTTTGTTCTCTTTCTTAGCGACTAAATTATGGGCATTAGCGCTGAGTGCGTCTTTGTTGCAATGAAAGGGCTCCCTTTCGTGCGCGGAGAAAAATAGCGAACAAATCAAACAAACGAAGCAAATAATCTAATGAGAGTTGAGTGGATTTAACACTGCTGTGCTAATTGTGGACACTTAAAATGAACAAGCAAATATTATCAAATAAATATAAGCCGAGTAAACTGGTTAGAATCCCACTAGTGGGAGCAAAACCAGATGGCACAGCTCATTAGGACTTCCTTATTTACTTTACGTCTCAACAGCTCTCGAGAAAGCCATTCCATATTAAGGACTGTTAAACTTCAATCGAAAAATATAGTACTAAGAATCAATAGGAGATCACGAACTAGCAGATTTATCCAAGCTGTTTTTGTAAGGATTTTTGAATCTACTTTGTAAAGAGTCACGTATTTGTTATCGCATGCAAACGATTGCACATCTTTGATCTTCTAGATAATAATAAATAATACGGGAGGATCCTCTAAAAAATAAAGGTATAAAATACATCGAAAAGGCCCACTTCTTAGAAATATTATTGTCTCCTCTCTAAGAAAAGTCTAGTACAATGATCAGTTCTGGAGACTTTGCGTGATTCGTGAGATTGTGCGGTTTTCTTTTCGAATAGTTAATAGAAAACATGAAAATGCAAATTACCATCTGGTTTGCTCCCTACGTGCAGGTATTAAGATACTTAACAATTTGATGTTCAATTTGCAGTATTTGCCTAAAATGTCCTGAATTAACACAGTTTCAACGCTAAATTCACTAACAGTTTAAACATTTATAAGTAGTTTATTTTATTTGTTTGTTTTTGGTGGTAGGGGCACGAAAGGAACCCCTTTCAGTGCAACTGAGATGACGCACGTGTTTTCGCTGGACTGGCATTGGTTTCCTGCAGGTGTCGTACGAGTTATTCGTTTCCCAGCAATCAGTTTTAAATCACGCCTTGGAACATGAAATTCCCTTTACCTAGTGCTGGTTACTTCATTGCCATTAATAAAATTTGCTTAGTTATTTTGTGTGTGTGTGTGAATCGTTAAGCCTGTGGCTGAATTCATTAACATCAGGGAGTGTCAGATCTTTAGTTGCATCGCTCCCCCACGCAGTTTCAACAGAGACAGCCTCTCAGTGAACACAGGACGCGCATTCACAGTTTCAGACACTATTTCATTTGCTTGGGGTCAAACACGATAAAAAAAACTATAGTAAATACATGGCAAAAATTAAAAGTTCGATGCTCAATAATTTGAGAGCGATTGACATGATTCTGAAGATTTTATGAGTTACAAGAAAAATATACTTAGAAGAAAATTTTCTTGATGAAACTGAAGAATATGGATTTGCTGTGAGGCGAGGAGTTGCTCTTTTGATTTTTCATACATATTCGGTTCTACAGTGAAATGCAACTTTGCCAGAAGGGCAATTTGCCTCAAATTTGATCAGTAAATTATTCTACCTAGTAGTTTTAGTTTTTCGATATTTCAGAAATTCTGTGAGTTGTCAGACATTTACTGAGATTTTTGCCCTGTGGAACCGTCGGGTGCGCTTTCTTGCGTGTAATTGAACCAATATGATATCTT